CAAATGTTACAAAAAGAAATCATTTATATTATTGAGCAATTACGCTCTGAATGCAAAAAATAACAATAATTGCAAAATTCACGAGATTCTGATGCCGAATTTACCAGCTGTCGATTTTGACTTTTTTATCAATTGCCGATTTCACCAGGTATACTGATTTAACTTGTACCCTAAGACCATTTACATGATTATTCACCACATTCAGCACAGAGATTGTTTTAAACACTAAAGGGTAGATTGTTCGGCATATTCTTATTTGCCGAATTCCTAATAAAAACAGTGTTTCAATAATCAGAACGTGAGTATCAACGACTTTCAGGAGTGTTGATGTTCCTTTATCGGATAAATGGATCCCAACTTTCCGTAATAGATCCGAAGATCGAAACATATTTTGAATTGAGATAAAATTCACACTGTATTCCTCACAAATCTAATTACTTGTATTTCATTTATGTGGGAAACATTTGTATTACTCCGTGGTGGTATTTCCGAGATGAAAATTTCGGTACATATACAATCTCTGAATATCGATTTTCAATTTTAATTTCAAAATTGAAAAAATGAAATTTCGAGAAGATCGCTTTCACTTGTCTTATTTTCTCTGTTGCCGGCAGCATTATTTCCACCGACAAGGATGACGATTGACTGCAATGGTGTCAATTCCCTGAAGAATGCGTCTGATATCGGACAGTAAAGCCTCTCTGTTTGTACGGAGCGCAACAGTTCTCAGTAATCCATGGGTTCGAACTCGCTGTATGATTCAATTTCCTGTTTTTGGTTCTTTCCCGTTCTGTTGAACGTGTTCTGCTCATTTTGGGCTGACATGATTTCTGTTGATGTTGAGAATTTCCTCGTCTCAACTCTTGTATACTGTGATTGTCTTGACACGCTTTGTACATTGGTATCTTTTTCCTGCGTATCAACAGCTTCGGTTTTTGTAGGTGGTTCCCTTGTTTGAGTAGCTACATCTACTGATTGAGAGGTTTTGATCTTAAGGGAATGCGACTCCATTTTCAATCTGGCAACTTCCTCAGAAAGATAGGTAACAGACTTTGTAAGTTTTTTGAATAATTTGAGAGCTATATATATATATATATATATATATATATATATATATATATATATATATATATATATATATATATATATATTAAGTATAACGTTCGCCGAAGTTGAGAGATACTTGTATTTACCCAAATGCACATAAAAACATAGGTAATCAGAGATTACAGAGCTCAGCTCAACGAATATTTTATTTCAGTAATCAAAGTCACACAATTAGCTAACAAAATGTGTACATCCAAAAGTGCAAAATCTATGCAATTTTGATCTGATACTTTTGAATAGATCTACATAAAAACTTCAGACTAGTTCTTCGTCATGAAAACGTAATTAAAATCCAGCATCTGAAGCAAGTTTGAGAGTTTTCATCCCTTGATGCATCATTTGTGCAAGTTTAGTTAATATAAGCCTGATAGTTTCTTGGTAATAGACCTGCACCAATAACTTTTACCTGGTCGATTATCTAGAAAATGTATGTCAAATTTAGCATCCGAAGCAGGTCCATTAGTGTGCATCCTAAGATGAATCATCTATGCAAGTTGCTCAACATAGGGCTCATAGTTAATTGGAAATGAAACCTGCATAAAAAAACTAACATTTTTCACTCATCCAGAAAATGTACGTCAGATTCAGCATCCGAAGCAAGTCTGGTAGTATGCATCCTACGATGTATCATCCATTCAAGTTAAGTCGTTATAGGGCTCATAGTAACTTGGAAATGAAACCTGCACCAAAAACTTTAACATATTCACTAATCCAGAAAATGTACGCCAGATTCAACATCCGAAGCAAGTCTGGTAGTATGCATCCTAAGATGTATCATCCATGCAAGTTTAGTCGTTTAGGGCTCATAGTTACTTGAAAATGAAACCTGTACCAAAAACCTTAACCTGTTCACTCATCCGGAATATGTAGTTCAAAGATTTACCATCCATGCATGTTTGGTCGTTATAGGACTTATAATTACTTGGAAATGAGACCTACATCCAAAACTGCACGAAAAATTTTAACCTGCCCCAAAAACATTAACCTGGTCATTCCCTTGCTGAAATTGCAGCATCTTAAAGCTTGACTAGTTCAATGAGACACACTAAAAGCATCTTCATAGCATGTCTAATCAATATAGAACATAGAAGTACTTAAAAAGAAAACTGCTCCTAAAAACGTAACCTGGGACGCCGACACCGATGCCGACATCGACGCTGAAGCCGAGGGTATCACATAAGCTCCCCCAGCTTCGTTGAAGTGAGCTAATTATTGAGGTCATTAAAAGACCATATGGCAGGTCATTTAGAATACCCGTTTCCTTCTGCACCGGAAATACATGGATGGACCTGGCTAGAGGTATCGCTCTTGCCTTTATAATGCTTAGACACAGATTTGAAGTTCATATTAATTTTTAAAATTGTCTTTTGTAAGATCGTGATTTATTTGTCGCTTGGCATTTCACACGAAAATATTATAAAAAATTCTTTATCTGCAAATTATTGAAACTACAATTTTCGGGAGGTGTTTGATTGGCACTTTCACAAAGTAAACCTTATCCTAAATACTGAAGAAAAGTAAAACTTTGTTGCGTATTGATGAAAAGTATTATTAGTATAATCTAGAAAATCCAGAGTAGAAAAAAATATGAATTGATGAAAAACATTAAAAATATAATCTAGAAAATTCAGAGAAGAAATATGAGAAATCCAATCCATTATCAATGATATGAGGAGAGTTAAACAAATTGAACACACTCACTCTGAAACGTAAACATTAACAAAACTCAGAGCTAGTGTCCTGTTTACAAATATTTTACTTGCTTTCAATTGTTAAATCAATCATAGATTAAGAATTTCATATTTCATCTTTGAAAAGTACATTATGCTAAGATAAACGCAACTTGAAAAAATAAAGACCCGTCACATAATTTTAAAGCGCTTGAAATAATCCTGAAAGAAATGTTTTACGCAAATATATTCTTTTCAACATTGACAGCAACTATTAAATTTGTGGTCGGAAATTAATACAATAATCTTTAGTAATTATTTTTTAAGAAAATTCCAGGGACAATCGCATGTAATTTAAGCTGTAAATATATATAGGAAATTAGTTTAATAAATATTTTGCTGCGGGAAAGACTAATTTTTAGTCTTAGTGTTTTGTTTTTAAAAGAAAATAACACACAGAAAGGATTTTCTTTGTTCGATAGAAAGAAAAAAAAATATTTGATAATTTGCTGAACAATACTGACATACTTATGCCTGCTACCCCTTTTGGGGCATAGGCCGCTGACAAGATTCCCCCAGGTCCCTGTATCCTGAGCAATGCTTTATACCTCCTTCCAGTCCTTCCTCATTCTTTTGACATCTGCCTCCAAATCTCTCCGCCAGGTGTTCTTTGGACTCCCTCTCTTACGTTTTCCCTGGGAGTTCTAGGATAGGACTTGTCTTATGTTGTTCTTATGTGACTTGCATAAAGTATACTCTATTCACCTGCACCTTTTCTGCATTATTTCTGCTTCTACAGGGCCGGGGCTTGGTTTGTTCTTTGTCACAGATCCGTGTTATTTATTTTGTCGGGCCATCTAATCTAGAGGATGTGTCTCAGACAAGAGTTGACAAGAGTTGACAAATGTCTGGATCCTGTTTATGGTGGAAACTTTCATCCTCCATGTCTTAGAACTATACAGAAGCACAGCCTTAACATTGGTGTTGAAAAGCCTGACTTTGGTGCATGTTGTTATTCCCTTGGTCTTCCAGACTTTTCCCAGTTGGAGCAATGCTGCTCTGGCCTGTCCTATTCTTGCCTTTATATATCAGCTTCTGTTCCTCCTTGTTGGTCTACTATATTGCCAAGGTAGGTGAAATGTTCTACTTCTTCTATTTTCTGACCTTCTTTATTTAATGGAGCATGTGATGGTTTGTTTGCTCTTAGGATCTTTGTTTTTGCAATATTGATGTAGAGTCCAATCTGTACTGATGTCTCTGCCACTGGTGTAATTTCTCCTGCATTTGTGCCTGGGTATGTGATAGGAGTTCCTAGTCATCTGCAAAGTCTAGATCGTTTCGCTATGACCACGGTATCCTCTGTAATCAATTTTCTTCTATTGTTTGTGAATGATTTCATTCTCCAGTGAACAATGGAAGCTCATAATTTTAACGTCGTTTTATTTTCATCGACCGACAGGTTATTTTGGACAGTGGTGCAAGATGGGCTTTTAGTAATGTGTACATTCATGATAAAGAATGAATTGATTTGAGAAACCTACGAATGAGTATATTATTCTGAAATAAATACAAATCAAGAGTAATAATGACATTGGATAGTTTTTCTTTTTAATGCTGTATTTGATGTGTGTAAGATTTAACTTATGTATAATGCAAAACATTATTTGCTTCCGATTTTGATGATTTGTGTCAACATTAACTTTATTTTTAGAATACATTTTCTTCCAATATGAATGCCTTTGACACTATAACATTCCTCTTACCATAGACACAGGTAAAGCATGTAGATCGATTAAACTTCCTTCAATGTGATTTATTGTATTGATCTTTATCATTTTGTCCATGTCACCTTTATGGGGCTCCTACACGAGTGTCAGAATGGGAGAACACTCTATAGCTTGCAACATATGATAGAGTGGCATTTCCTCCCTAGCCAGTCGATGTTAATACTCTGCAGTTCTGCTTGTACATCAAACACAAAGAAGCTGCTATTCAATTTCATACAGAACCGATCTGTATTTTACCCACTTCGTTCTACATTTCACTCTGTTTAACTGTGAACAGAGTGAAATGTAGAACGAAGTGGGTAAAATACAGATCGGTTCTGTGTGAAATTGAATACACTTTATGTAAATGTGTATAAGTCTTTAATGATGCAAGAAATGCGTATAAGTTTTAAAACAGTGATTAATTATTTATTTTTTGAATTCTATTTACAGTATCATTTGAATGTTCGGCTCAAGTCTAGACATGGACCCTCGCAATAGTGCCATAGACATCCTCCTTTGTGATTTGTGTGAAACTGCTCCCTTGAAGTTTCATTGTGAGAATTGTCAAATAAACCTTTGTGTTGCCTGTAAAGAGAAGCATCTGTTACATTCATGCGACAGAGAAAACATTGTACCCTACAGACTCCACATATTTGCTACAAAATATCCAAAATGTCAAAGCCACACACAACAATTTTGTAAGACTTACTGTGAGAAATGTGACATTCCTATTTGTGAAACCTGCCTCTCCTCTGATGTCCATAATGGACATTCTCTATCAGATGATCTGCAGAAAATCAATTTCAAAAGTAAGCCTATCCCACCTCAAAAATTTTTGGCATGCATGGAAAACGGAAAGACCACCGTGCGTCATGCTCGAGGGGTTGTGATTGGGTGTGCTGGTGTGGGGAAAACGACTCTGTTATACAGACTCATGGGTAAAAGTCTTCAAGAAATAAAAAAAATAAAATCGACGAGGGGACTTTGTGTCTACGAACACATATTTTCTGTGGAAAAAGGAGATTTGGTTGGTAAGCGCTTATATGATAACTCATGAATTCAAAAGTCATTGGAAAGAAGATTTTAAGTTTTCCAGACCAAAAACCCCTGAAATGTTAGCTTAGTATCTGAGCCTAAAACTCATGAGAGTTTTATATATTATGTTCGAAGAATATCAGGGTTCTGTTTGTCGAGTGTAATGCATGCACATTGTACTTCTGCGCATGCTTTCTCGTGTGATGCAGATTCAAGATTTTAAATAATGACCTGGGGGTATAGTGTTTTACAATGAAAAGCACAATATAAAACTGAACTGTTTATTAGGCGGAATGGTAATTGGGTATTCATTGAAAGGTGATTGAAAAGGTCAATGATTGACTTTTCTGTGAACTTTCAGTTATCAATTAGTCGACTGAATGGCACCTACTCTTGAGCGGCCTTTTGGTTAACTCACAGTTGTGTGTTTTTTGCAAGATGTTTTGTTTATCTTTAAACCTAACATATTTATCTTTTTTGTTCCTTTAGAATTAAATACACATTGTTAAAAGAGTCATTTTTTGAGCCCCATTAGACTCCCATGGTGAAAGAACTAAGAACTCTAACTCTTGATTTCCGCCTACACTTTGCACCCATTAAATTCAATATTAATGGCAATTTGGCCATTAAATCTTTGTTTAATACAAAGAATAGTTCTATGGTAATTGCTTAATCATTTTATTTCTAACGCTAGATAGTAAATTATCATTAATTCAAGCTCTTGAAAAAGGGGGGTAGACGATATTTTCTGGTGAAATCGAACTTTCAAAAATCAACATATTTCGAAATAGTCTTAAATATGATAAAATATATCTCATATCTTTTCTTATGTTTTATGCAAATAAATAAAACATATATAAATTAATAAAATACAATTATTTAGTTGTAAATAGCTTTAAAATTGGTGAAATATCAGCACTTTTTTTTTAGTTTTTTGTCTATAACCATATGTTCCCTCGTGAAACACAAAAAGCTTTGGCATAAATTTGTAAAATGACAGTCTATATTACCTGTAAAACGGAATTTTTGTTTCACGGGGGGAAAGATTTTTTTAAAGTATTTTCCGTTTTCCGTTGATTTCTATAGTGAAAACACAAGTTTTACCAAAATTATAAAGTTATCTCTCTTTGATATCCCAAATAAGTAACGTTTTATGAAAATTCATGTAAATATCTATAAAATGTTTGAAAATCATTCGAATATTTTAACTTTTGAGAATTGACTTAAAGGTAGGCGGGAGAACAATACTATCATTCGTAGTTCTTTCAAAAACCTTATATCATATCTACAGGGAACCACCAACCGTCTCTCAAAGGTTGATTAGGCTACTGTGTAAAATACAACCATGGACTTTTTGCATAAAAAGTCATTCCGACCCCTATTTGACTCCAAAGGTGAAACTTAAAATTACGAAACCTTATTGCACATCTAAATGAAACCACCAACCATTATCTTAAAAGAGGATTAAGCTACTATATTAAATGTGAATAGAGTTTAGAAAAGCAAGGGCTTTTTTATTTGACCCCTAAGATAAAAATGAAAGCTCATACTTTGTTATTGCACGTCTACATGACATGACACTATCAACCATCTCTAAAAAGATAATTAGACTAATATGTTAATGATAGGGGAGTTAGAGGAAAAAGAAAGTGTGACAGACAGACGGACGGACATGAATAACAACAATATACCCTCATTTTCTTTCAAAAGTGCGCGTATTAATATTAGATCATCATTTTTAATATGAAACAATGTAACAATTTTTAATTTGGACGAGTAGGATTTTTCGGTTTTAGTGCAACTTTACTTCATTTTACTTATTGCACATCTAAATGACATCTAAATGAAATGAATAAGCACTTCAAACATTATTTGATATTTTGATTGTAATAACGAAATTTTGACCTGCTCCGTGATCCTATTTTCGGTCAAAGTAGGAATAAGAAATAATTATCGATATTTAAAACTTTTTTATACATGTGATTCGAATTCATTTTTGAGATATTTCTCCCAGTTTTTGATATTATATGCATATGTCATTTTCGAACAAATCTCCTACAACTTGCGTTATTAATAAAATCTTGCGTAAATTTCGACATTAAATGTAATAACTTGTTATAATGAAGAATATAGAGATAATGATCAGTATTCAATATCAAAGTCCATAAAACAATACAAAGGAACAGAGCAAACACGGACCTCTAAAACATCAGAGGTGGGATCAGGTGTCATGGAGGAGTGAGCATCCCCAGCTTACCAGTCATACCCACCGTGTTCTCCTTGTCATGATTGGTGAATAACGGAAAACCCCTCATCAATTATGGTATATATAATGGACTAACAATAAGTATGAAAATATACTTAAAGTGTGTAATTACATTTTGTGTTACATAGCATTCTTCGTTGATTTCAGCGCAAAATGTGATAACCACATTTTATTACAATTTGCATTGTAACTGACTATTCTGCTATCACAATACTCTCTGATTGCCTGTCTTATTTTTGTCATCCTTCCTAATCGAGATTGCGAGGGGAATGTAAAGGATATTGCAAAAAATATTAGAAGTTAATAGAATAGTATAATTAAGTATAGTGAAGTTTACAGACAGCGATTGTACATGATAGGCGGTAAATGTAATTAATCTGATAAAGACAATGATTCCATTGGAAAAATTATGTAGGTGAAATTAATTGTAATATTTAGATCTTGGATGGATGGATGATAGATAAACTTCTAAATTATTATGATTTTATTTACACAAAGTTGTCTTCTAAATTGAAATTTATGCCATTGCTGCATTACAGCAACTGAAAATGATATCTCTAAAAGACGACTGATCCGAGTTCCACTGTCTGCACTTCAGAGGAAAGAGCAGATTGGGAAAGAAAAGTCAATGTTTGGAGTGAAAAGAACAAGTCAAAAAAGTGGAAATTTAGAAAATTTGCAAAACGATATGTTGCCAAAAGGAGAACAGAGAGCAAGTCCATTGACGGTACAAAATTCTTCTCTCGATATATTAAGTACCACGAAAAATGCAGCGAATGAATTACAAGTGACGAGAAATGAAAAGGATAAAAAAGGTGCCAGGGAAAATGAAACAAATGATCTTCAAATGTCGAGATATAAAATGAGAAAAAGATTGGGTGCCAGGGAGAAGGCAGAAAATTATCAACAACAGAAGCATGATAAAATGCGAGAAAGATTGGTTGCCAGGGAAAAGAGAGAAAATGATCAACAGACGCATGATAAAATAAGAGAAAGATTGCATGACAGGGAAAAGAAAGAAAATTATCAACATCAGACGCATGATGAAATGAGAGAAAGATTGGGCGCCAGGGAAAAGGAAGAAAATTATCAACATCAGACGCATGATGAAATGAGAGAAAGATTGGGCGCCAGGGAAAAGGTGGAAAATACTCTACAACTGACGCAGAATGATATGCGAGAAATATTAGTTGCCAAGGAAAATGAAACTAGTGTCAGTATGATTGATTTTGCAGGACAATTTGCTTATTATGCATGTCATCAGATCTACATGAGGTCTGAAACATTCTACATTCTTGTGTTGGACATGAGTAAATCCTTTAATGATGTCATTGGTAGTGAACTAGATGACCGTGAGGGCTCTATATATTCAACATGGACTTGCAAAGGTATGCTTCTAATTCTAACTTGGCAATGATGCTTCTTAGTTTACAAGATTTCAACTTTAAATTTAAACTGTAAACTCTACACTGAGTATTACAAAAATCATTTACAAAATATTTCAATTGGTAAACAGCTTTTCATAGTTATACGTGATCAAAAATTCACAAGCGTGGAGAATGTTTTTTTAAAGTCTAGAATTGAATTGATTATCAGATTAGAATTGAATTGATTATACCTGATAGGAAATCAAAAAAAGATACACACTTTAAAGTTCAATGCAAAGTTCTTTTTGTCTTATTGGCTACTATGATTCAATAAAGTAATTGTTTTGATACCAAGCTGTCGGCTTTTTCCCAAGTTAAATCAATTTCATCGTTGATTCCATGAAGAAAAGATTCAAATGGAAGACAGATTCACGGTTCAATGTATTTTTGAAACAAAGGTCAATGGTCAAGATCAAATGGATTAATAAGCTGCTATTTTCAACACATCTTTATGACAAGGATTGCACTTGCCATATAACACAGAGTTACAAGTAGCTCTTAAAGGTTAAATAATATTTGCATACTGGCACTATATTGCATTTTTAAATGTTTTTCAAAGGTCAAGTTGAAGGTAACGGGTTTGGTAACCCTGGTAATTTTACACAATCAATTCTTCTAAGATTAACAAAAGCAAAATATCAAATCACTGCTGTTTTCCGTTTTGATGAAACGTTCTGAGTCATGCTTTGAACGTCAATTATAATATAATGACACGCCCATTTTTTAGGAAACGAAAAAAAAATATTCGTCGGAATGTTTAAGGACACCTTGCTCTTCGTGACAAGCAACATGGGTTACACCGAAAAAAAGATTTTTGAAGTTATAAGAGAGAGATTTAGAATGATCCCGCTTCTGTAAAACACGCATTTAAACGAATTTGTCAATAATTATTAATCTATCATGTTTAGTGAAATTACCATAACACATGTATTTGTCGATCACGTGCTTAAGGTAAGTCACTCCTGAAATTTGTTATATCAAGGATTTTTTGAGAAGTATATTTTGGATAAGTACTCATAAAGTGTAACACAAAATCGCAAAGAAAATAGGGGGTCAGTGTGCATCCTACTAATCTACGGTACATTTGCGTTGACCTTTTTGCACTTAAATTTCATCTCTTTGGTTAATTACTTTTACCCTTATTCTTTTTGATTAGATGTAAGCATGGCAATAAATATAATCTTATTTTACGTAGAATAGTTTGAAAAATATTTATCATTAAACAAATCTTGCAAATTAATGCGCGTAAATTATTGTGTGACCTTTTTGCACTAAAAAATAACATATTTGGAGTATTAAAAAACTTAATAGGCAATAAAAAATTTTCTTATATCAAACTTTTTACGACTTGAGTGCTGATTAGTCATAAGTATCGAGTAGTTTAAAATAATGAAAGAAAAAGGTAGGGTCAGTGATGTTAATTTTGAAATATTTGTCAAAATATGTGATTTTCAGGCAAAAAATGGTGTGAATTTGACCTTGACTTCTTCAGTATATTTTCATTTTTTGGAAAAGTTTGTTGAGAGAAGGTGTAAAACTTAGTCTAAAAATATAAATTAAGACCTATATTAAATATTTTTAGCAATATCAAAACAGAAAATATTCTCCGAGTAAAAGTATGTGAGGCTAAATTTCCATTACATTAAATTTTATAAATGTGCAGATTTGCAGAATTTTCTGCTAAATATCCTTCCGCCAAAAGAAATAGTCCCTCATAAATCTTGCTTCTTTGTAGATTTTTGAGCAGTTTTTTCACTGAATGTTAAAAAATTTACATTGTTGAATTTAAATATGTTATAAAAATTGAATTTTAATAAGTAGTTTTGAAGTAAAAGTTTCTGCGTGAACTTTTCTAAAAAGCTGACGAGTGACTTACCTTAATCGGTGTTGATGTAGACTGTCAATTTGATTGGCTATCATATTTATGGAATACCTGTTCTACAGGTATTTGAATGAACCATTTGACCGATTTTTTTCTTTTCTAAAGAAATGGGCGTGTTATTGTATGACAATCATCTTTTTAGCTCACCTGAGCCGAAGGCTCAAGTGAGCTTTTCTGATCACATTTTGTCCGTCGTCCGTCCGTCCGTCCGTCCGTCCGTCTGTCCGTCTGTCTGTCCGTCTGTAAACTTTTCACATTTTCGACTTCTTCTCAAGAACCACTGGGCCAATTTTGACCAAACTTGGTACAAAGCATCCTTGGGTAAAGGGAAATTTAAATTGTTGAAATGAAGGGACATATCCCCTCGCAAGGGGAGATAATCAAGAAAAGACAAAAATAGGGTTGGGTCATTAAAAAATCTTCTTCTCAAGAACCACCGGGCCAGTAAAGCTAAAACTTATGTGGAAGCGTCCTGGTATAGTGTAGATTCTAAATTGATCAAATCATGACCCCCGGGGGGAAGGGCGGGGCCACAATGGGGAATCAAATTTTTATATAGAAATATATAGGAAAAATCTTTGAAAATCTTCTTCTCAAGAACCACTGGGCCAGAAAAGCTGAAACTTATGTGGAAGCATCCTGGTATAGTGTAGATTCTAAATTGTTCACATCATGACCCCCGGGGGAAGGGCGGGGCCACAATGGGTTATCAAAGTTTTACATAGAAATATATAGGAAAAATCTTTGAAAATCTTCTTCTCAAGAACCACTGGGCCAGAAAAGCTGAAACTTATTTGGAAGCATCCTGGGGTAGTGTAGATTCAAAATAGTTCAAATCATGACCCCCGGGGGAAGGGCGGGGCCACAATGGGGAATCAAAGTTTTATATAGAAATATATAGGAAAAATCTTGGAAAATCTTCTTCTCAAGAACCACTTGGCCAGAAAAGCTGAAACTTATGTGGAAGCATCCTGGTATAGTGTAGATTCTAAATTGTTCAAATCATGACCCCCGGGGGAAGGGCGGGGCCACAATGGGGAATCAAAGTTATATATAGAAATATATAGGAAAAATCTTTGAAAATCTTCTTCTCAAGAACCACTGGGCCAGTAAAGCTGAAACTTTTGTGGAAGCATCCTGGTATAGTGTAGATTCTAAATTGTTCAAATAATGACCCCCTTGGGAAGGGCGGGGCCACAATGGGTTATCAAAGTTTTACATAGAAATATATAGGAAAAATCTTTGAAAATCTTCTTCTCAAGAACCACTGGGCCAGAAAAGCTGAAACTTATGTGGAAGCATCCTGGTATAGTGTAGATTCTAATTGTTCAAATAATGACCCCCGGGGGAAGGGTAGGGCCACAATGGGGAATCAAAGTTTTATATAGAAATATATAGGAAAAATCTTGGAAAATCTTCTTCTCAAGAACCACTGGGCCAGAAAAAGTGAAGCTTTTGTGGAAGCGTTCTGGGGTAGTGTAAATTCTAAATTGTAGGAATCATGACCCCTGGGGGAAGTGCGGGGCCATTATAGGGAATCAAAGTTTTACATAGAAATATATAGGAAACATCTTTGATAATCTTCTTCTCAGGAACCACTGGGCCAAAAAAACTGAAACATATGTGCCCATGGAAGGATCATGGGGTAGTGTTGATTTCAAAATGTCTAAATTATGATCAGTGGGGTAGGGCGGGGATGCATTATGTATAACAAGGGGGAAATCTGGTAAAGAAAAGAATGGGCAAAGCTTCTCAGGTGAGCGATGTGGTCCATGGGCCTCTTGTTTAAGATAGCTCAATATGTTCCAGTCAAAAGGAAAATTTTACCACTTCAATGCGCTTCGTTGTATCAGACAGACAGGCAGCTTCAAAATAATCCCACGTCTCCATATGAATGAAAAATTCTCGAGAGGGACTTTAAACAATATACAATCAATCAATCAATCAAAATAACCCCTATCTTGTGTCACTTTGCTCTGAAGGTGGCACAGAAAAAATACACTTTATTTACTTTTTTCAAGTGGAAAATATCCACCACTGTCCTTTTAACATTTATTTAAATAATTTATTTCATGTAAACAAGATTTTAAGTAATTTACTTTCTTATTAGATTATGTTGACTTCTGGCTTGAATCCATAAAATCGTTCGGTGGAAAAACTCCACAAATACTTGCTGTGGCTTCACATGCAGAGGACAAAGGAGAAGCGGTATGTAAAATATTTAATGAAAGAATTCTGACGAATATGCAGACTGTATTAACAAATCACAATACTGCACTGAGGGTGTTCACGTGATGACAAAGACCTGTTTGATGGTCATTCAAGAATTTGTTATAAATACAGAAAGGACTTTAAAAGTTTGGATTAATCTAATTGAATATACATGAAAGTTTTATAAAATATGTAAAAAAAAAAAATCATTCCAATCTCAAAACTCAACGAATTTTCTTCGAGTTGTGTTTCATTTGTAATTTTCTACAAGATGCATAAACCCAATCGAAAATTTATGGGAATCTGGTGCTTTTTTCAGCTTAATTAAAAAAAACACATGGGAGAATTAAGAATTAATCTGTTGCTTTAAAATGCCTTTATATATATTATATATACTAGTAACCCAGTGAATGACAATGGAGTTTATGTCAGGAATGTATATAAGGTCTTGGATGAAATATGGAGATAACAAATGGTATTCTTGCCCTTCTTATAAATAGAACTTTCTGGGTATGTGTGGTGCTATTTCCAGATTAAAACTAGATGCACAGTGAGCAATGAGCTCATTAAATGAGCTCATATGGTTATAGTGGCAAATTCCATGTTTTGCTATGGGGGATCTGAAATAAGCATCAGATCAAAAAGTAAAACAAAAATTGCACAATGGCAATAGGTAATGAAGAATCTGTAAAATTATCATTAAATTTCATTTAGTTTTATGAGAGCAGTTGCGGATAAGATATAGATACCCTTCCGTATTACAAAAAGAATTATTGTGTCCATTTTTTCTCGAGGAAAGCCACAATGTGTGTCCGATCAGTAAAACAGGAGGTCACAATGGCATTATGTAACAAAGATTCTGTGAAAGTCCCATTAAATTTCATTCAGTGGTATAGGAGTTGCGGATAAGAGATGGGTACCCCTAAGCATAAAAGACGTACGGACGTACAGACGGACGTACAATGTACATTCTGATCACTGTTTACCCTCCCGCTTTTCAAGTTGGGGTATAAATATGACTTTAATAATAATTTTTTTAATTTTCATATAGGAAAAAAAGGTTTTTTGGCAAAATTTTTGGAGATTAATACGAGAAGAAGATTGTGACTGGCTCGGAAAATGCATAAATTCCCGTGAATTTTCTTTAGGACTTATTGAGATGAAAGGAGATGAAGAAAATTCACTGAAGTGTCTAAAACAAACAATTGCTAAGGTGGTATCGAAAAGTCCAAAAGCTGAGTTAGAAGTTCCATCAGCATGGGCCCTTCTTGAACATCTCTTGCGAAAGACAGAGAAGCCAATCATGTCACTTGAAGAAATCAACAAAGTGAATAAAACACTTCCGAATAACTATCAGTTAAAAAATCAGGAGGAAATTTTCGAATTTCTATCCTTTTTCCATGATCATGGATTGTTACTGTTTTTCAAAGATAAAGGACTGAGGAAATATGCAATATTTGGGATGCAGTGGTTTTCCAATGCATTCAGTAAACTTATTGCAGACAGGAAGCATATCAGCCAAGACTGTAATACAAAATACATTAAAAAATGGGAATGTTTCAACGAAACCGGAAAACTGGGACATGAACTTGTCGAGGCTCTCTGGACAGGCGAGCAATCGTATTTAGATCATAAGAGAGAGCTTATGCTGTATATGGAGAGATTGCAAATGTTAGTTAGCATAGTTGACGCCGCTCACAAAACCTTGTGGTATGTCCCCTGCATGAATAATAAAAGTTTTACACGCCGCATATTTAAAAGGAAGTGGAGGTACTCTTCCATTTTATGTTTTCGGTTTGCATCGTTTGCCATGTTCGTGTATTACAGACTGATTGCATACTGCATGAGTTCACTGAAGTGGGCTGTGCAGCTGGATAAAGACAACAGTCCATGTCTGTATCACACAGCAGCAATATTTGAAACAACCGAAAATCACACTGTTATTGTTGGTATTTTTGATAACGACATCCAGATACAGGTCATGAGAATCAATAATCTGCAACCAAAGGTTTCCTGTGAAATTGGAAAATCCATTGAAATTGCCTTAACACAATTGACAAAGACATTTGAGGAGGAGAAGACCTTTCAGAAAGGTTATAAATGTTTGAATGTTTTCTGCAGTGAAGAGGATATGTCATTCATCCCAGAAAAAAAATTATCTAAAGCTAAAGAAATTCAATGCAATTGTCCAATAGAGGATAAACACGAAATAGACGTTCATAAAACTTTAATATTCTGGGAAGAGGTATGTATATACAACATGTAAACAAATCATAATAAATCTGTTATTCAGTTAAATAAGAGGTGATAGAAAGTCTCACAAAGATCACTGAATGCCAGATCTTTCCCATTCATTGACCTTTGTAGAATTTTCAGTTGACTGAATGATATAAGTTCTATGATATTCGTTTATATTTTGTACAATTAAGAGCTCAATTTAGGGATCATATTAACGTCTCTAATTTAGAATCTTGTTTGAGAAGAACAATTAAGTTTTAGTTGCAATGTTTAAAAATATGGAAGAAATTGTCAAATACAATGATATGATATAAATAAAAATAGTGAAGATAACTAACGGTGATCAATCTCATAATTATCTAGAGGAATTCAGTCGAGAACAGTGCAAAATCACGGATCCTTGCGAACATCACAGATGGGACCTTGTGACTGGAAAGAGAATATATTTTCTATTAATTGACAATGATTGTTCAGCCCTTTGAATAGGTTAGAAAAATGTAATCAATCTTAGTATTAAATAGACTTACGAAACAAGATATAGTGTATTTAAAACAATGTCATTTGTATTACACTGACTAAATCTAGTCCCTTGAACATCTTTCAACACATTTGACTCCTCAGCAGATGGCCTCGGGCACACAAATGTTGTCTTTATATTTCTGATTTTCAAAACCAAAAATATCAGTAAGCACCTGAAATAGTGTTCTCTGTTTGCTAAAAAAACATTACATCATTACTTTATATATCACCCAGGTGACCTATTGATATGTCTTTTCGTCGTTGAACTTTTCCAGCTTCTTCTCTGGAATCACTGAACCATTTTCAATCAATTTTATTATATAGGATCAATGGGCAAAGGGGCACAAATGCTATGAACTTTATTCTTCTTGTCCTCTTTTGGCTTTAGATATGGGGCTAAAACCATCAAAATAGTGCTTTCTTGAAAAAAAACTCCCTTAATTCCTAAATATCATGTAGTCAACTTGTTGGCAAAATGGCAATAATTGGCACTCTGTCCAAAATTTTAACATTACTGGGTCCAGGGTCAGGGTTCTGGATTAATGGTAAGGCTCTATTGATATATAGTATAAGATCATAAATTCTTCAATCTTGTTCTCACCCCTGAATGTTTAACAGATCAACAAGATGCATGATTATGATGAGCAAAGTGCCTCATCCAAAATTGTAATATATGTGGCCCAATCCTCAGGGGCTCTGTCATATAGATTATATAGTGGAAATGCATCATACATGTATCTTTGAAGATGTTGTCTTCTCCTTGGTACAAAGCAAACAGAGTGCATAGTATTGATAAGTAAGGTTGCCAATATTGTGAATTTCATAGGTCAGGGGTTCTTGTGGTGTAAGGGTTGGTGCTCTATTGATTATGGAATAAAATGCACTATTTATTTCAAAATCTTTTCTTCCAGAAACGTCATGGTAGCTCGCTCGCTCCGTGTTTGGAAGGTCGTGAGTTCGAATCTCGGCCACACTGACCTATGTCGATAAAAAAAGTAGTTAGCAAGTGTTCCTTCGCCATGCGCTCCGCACTTTGAAGTGAGAGTTTGCAAGTCCTTCAATGACACCTAAAAACCGAGGCCCCGTGTCACTGCAGACGATGGCACGATAAAATCCATCACTGCTCAACTGCCCTAAGTGTCGAGTAAAGGTCAAACATTATCGAATTAGACGTAAAACATACAATTAATCAATCAATCAATCAATCTTCTGGGTATGAAGCAGACAAGCTAAGTTTATTATTGGCAAGGGTTTTGTTAAAAAAAAATTGTGAATAAAATAATACTTGGGTCATGGGTTCTGGTGTTAGGTAGGGCTTCATTGTTTTTTTTTAGTGAAAATGCATTGATATTTTGAAAAAAAGTTCTCTGCTCCTGGGTATTTGGCTGAAAACTTTAAGTGCAAAGCTGGGAGAGCAAGGATGCTTCTTCCTAAATTGCGAAATTCATGGCTTTAGCTTCATCAAAGACCAAGCTTTAGGGTGTCCCATATGAAACAGAATTTAAGATAGGTATACTAATACGTGTACTGCACAATTATATTGGTCTGTAAAGTTTGCACGGTAATATAGGCTCAGGCAATCGTTTGCGCCGTTGGATGTATCGTTTCTCTTTTCTTTACATGATTATTGTACTGATAAATCTGCTATGTATATACGTGGCGAATACTGATAAAAACGAAAACAAGAGCAATTCTATTTTCTTGTAGCGAATTACTTATTCATTTCAGGGAACAGAAGAATGTTCTAAAAACGTGAAATCAGGATCTTCTGGATTAAATCTTGACGACCGTACTAGATTTGCCAAAGTTGGAATGGCGATAAATGATGTGTTGACAGAGACCCTTAGAGACGTTTTACAGAATAATATACCCTCTTCTAATATTTTTGTTAAGGTGAATGCATCAAAAAGATATAAAGATCTCAATAGTGAGCAACAGAATCTTATAAAAGATGCCATAAATTCTGGTTATGAGAAATTTGATACAACACTTTTGTACACCTTGATAAGAAATTTTTCAACAATCACTAAGCCCACAAGAGGTTGGGGTTTGACGGCCTTACCTGCATCAGGGGAAATAACTGTGGGGGATGACGTGGAAAGGATCAGACTGATACGAAACAATGTGTTTGGTCACGTTAACTCAGCTTTAACCTCACAATCAGTGTTTGATGATTGCTGGTCAGCCATCTCTGATATCTGCACGCGACTTGAAACCTTTACGGGAAATAGCTACTTGGATGAACTTAGTTACATAGAGAATCTTTCCTTGGAAGAAAAGAATCGAGAGGCAATTATAGATCAAATCAAAGTTGAATGTAAGGATGACAAAGAAATCCTCGAAATAATGCATTCAATAGAGTCAAACATGCATTCTTTGAAAACTGGTATGCATTCAGTGGAGTCAAATTTGCATTTGGTGATGAAGGATGTGAAAGAAATGAAAACAGCCATGGAGTTTGAGAAGAAAGGTGACCATAAACATCAGTTTTCATACATATTTGAAAAATATATCTTCTATCTTTATATATTTTTAGTGATTTCAATTTTATGTTATATATTATCTACTTACAGGTACGCAGCGTGGAAGGCGAGAAATTTGCAAAATCCTGTGAATATGTTTAATGTCGTGTTTACCATGAAAAAGACAAACTGTACATATTTTGTATAAACAAATAACATAGTTGAAGCCAACTGACTATTTTAAAATGTGATTCTTTTAGAACATGCAAACATCTTTAACTTTGACTTTGCAATGTGCTTGACAATCAGACAATCATTGTATACATTATATACTAAATTCATATTTGAAAATACATTGTTGAAATTTAACAAAAATACTGTAAATCACTTTTTATTCACGAGAACTTTATTTTCGCGTAATTACGCGAGACAGTGTTCTCGCGAAAATTTAATTCTCGCGTATAATAGTATCCCTTAGGATTATATAGAGCAATAACCACAATTTGCGAAAATTTTGTCTCCCTAATCAAGAGTCAGTGACTATCTCGCGAAAATGAGATGTCGCGAAAATTTAGTGATCTACAGTATTGGTAAATGAATTTTGTATAATATCTGTATATACTGAATTTTTTGGAAGAAGATTGAGACATACGTTCTAGGGGCAGTCGAAAGGAAACATTTGTTCTAGGGGTAGTCGAAAGAAACATTAATAAGCATTGCATTATTTTTATTGCGGGGGGCAGTGGTAGAGAGTCTGCTCTAGAGTCGCGGAGTAAGGACTTGATCTACAGTCGCCTGTCATTAGTGAGTTCGCAAAATTGCCGACTTAATGATTTTGTATGCAATAAATCTAAAATAAAAACGTTTTTACAAATAAACTCCTAGCCGAGCGGTCTAGCGCGATGTTCCTGCACTGCTAGGAGACAGATTCCGAAGGTCGAGAGTTCAACCCCGGGCTGGGGCGGAAGTGGGTATCCATGTAAAAGTGAATTTCTTTGTGTTTTCTATATTAATATTTCTTCACTTCGGGCAGTTATGTTAGTTGAAGAGTTGTTGTAAATTGTGCTTTATAAATAATAAATTAATTTCATTACAACATGTATTGGTAACAATCCTCTGTAAAAACTAATGTCCAAATAACTGTATCTCACTTCTATTCTCAATGACCATGTAGTGTAGGGCAGCGCCGCGAGAATTCCATCGGCATCGAAAGCAAGTTTTTGACTTGCCTAGATAGCCGAGCGGTCTAGCGTGCTGTTCCTGCACTGCTAGGAGACAGATTCCGAAGGTCGAGAGTTCAACCCCGGGCTGGGGCGGAAGTGGGTATCCATGTAAAAGTGAATTTCTTTGTGCTTTCTACTATATATATATATATATATATATATATATCTATATCTATATCTATATATATATAAGTAAAATTAAAATAAAAAAGGCAACACAGATTAAACGTTAGCGCTTTCATTACATCTTCAGACGTTTTACAAATGCATACTTTCTCCTTACTGCAATGTCTCACAAAACTATTAATACTTTTAAAATCATTATCTATAATTGAATCTGACAGCAAGCAATTAAATGCCTGCAGTTTGTTCACACTTTTGAAACCAAATCCGACATGTGTTTATACTCTTAGCCGGAGTTCAACCCCGGGCTGGGGCGGAAGTGGGTATCCATGAAAAAGTGAATTTCTTTGCGCTTTCTATATTAATATTTCTTCACTTAGGGCAGTTATGTTAGTTTAAGAGTTGTTGTAAAATGTGCTTTATATATATATATATATATATATATATATATATATATATATATATATATATATATATATATATATATATATATATATATATATATATATATATATATATAGTTCGTCTTTAATTAGAAGGGAAACAAATGATCCTGTGGCTACTCATTTTAATTCAGGTGTACATACAGTAGAAAATTATAATATTATAGGCATTGAAAAACTGTATAAGAATTACAATTACCGCAAATAGAGAAATCTTTGGAAGAAAAAGTTGTACCCTTATATACCATTTGGTATCAACAAAAAGAAAACACTTCTGTCTTTGAATTGCATTGATGAACATTTGAGTGATATTGTGATACTTATTTTTATAGATATACAATTATATATACTTAAAAATCATCTTTTTAATATATCCCGTATTCTAGTATTTTATTTTGCATGATAAAAATTGTGATAGCACGAGTACAATTTTTGCTCTCACAATTTTTTCAGATGTTTTTGGCGCAATTTCATTTCATGATCTTGCCTCTCAATTTTTATGTTCATTGTGACGTCATAATACCTTGTTCGTTGTTGAGTTGGTATGCATTTAAGGGGGGACCTATGTCGTTCTACGTCAAAGCAGCGTTATGTGACGTCACAATAGCGACGTTTGTTTTTTTCCCGCTGACTTTTGCAACTGTGATTATAGGCATAACATTATTATTAAGCAATAACGTACACATTTTACAAAAAGAAATTTTTTTCATGCATTTATAAGAGTTTTATTTGATTATAATGGAGTTTGTTAATATTAGAATTCTCTTCCTTTGGTTGATAATTCATAGCAATTTCAGTTGTGAAGAAATGCCTCCGTGAAATGCTGATATAAAAATGCAAAAAATTAGATAAAATTCAGCAAAGACAGCGGCATCAGGGAAATATGTTTAATTTTATGATTACCATTCATTATATTTTCTGGATAAAACTAAGAAATGTACTTGTACCTATATTTTATTGATTTATAGTGTATGTAGATTTTATTGTATAAAATCTTTCCTCGGTTCTCTTCGGTGTTGGTTGTGGCCGGGGCCGGGGGGGGGAGGCAGATTGATTAGAATGAAGAAGAAAAGAGTTTATCTGTTTTAATTATTTCTTATCAAAACAAAATACTCGTTTTTTTGCAAAATAGATTTATACGTAGATGTTTAACAGTACTAACTTACCTTTTTTTTAGTGCAGAAAGGTCAATATTTATGACAGAAGAGTACGAAAATAAAAGGAAACGTCATATTTCTCGCTTTTTATATCATAAAGGTATACTTTTTTCTTTGTTAAAATAAAGAGAGGGGTCATTTTTTTCAAAAAGTATTAATTACAACATTTTCACACAAAGACTTTTAAAGATATTACCTGTTATGCATGTCGGAATTGTAAAAAATACGACTAGAAAAACGGGATGATACTTACATTGTGCTCCTTTATAATTTTTCATGCGAGGTGAATTACAATGAATTTGCCTTCATTTTAAAGATACAAGTCATATAAATTGAATACATGTTGATTTCGAATGTGATTTGACATATTTGGTTCTTTTTAGCGCATATTTGGAGTAGAACAATAATGTCTGAAGATAATCTATTTTTAGCATTTCACACTGTTTTTGCACGTGCTCCTGTGTAAAAATAAGCATATAAAGGTATTGTTTTTAATACCTAAAAATTAAAAGCAAGTGGTCAGGAAAGAAATGTCAAAGTTTTGAAAATTTCACACAAAGACTTTTCGGACATAGGTCCCCCCTTAAGGGGGGACCTATGTCGTTCTACGTCAAGGCAGCGTCATGTGACGTCACAATAGCGACGTTTGTTTTTACCTGTTGACTTTTGTAACTGTGATATATGCATAACATTGTTGATAATCAATTACGTATAGATCTACAATTTACAACAAGGAAAAGTTATTCATCATTAATCACAGTTTTATTTGATTTGTGGAGTTTGTTAATTAATATTAGAATTCTCTTCCTTTAGTTGATAATTCATAGCAATATCTGTTGTGAAAAAAATACCTCGATAATATGCTGATATAATAGTGCAAAAAGAGATAAAATTCCGCAAAGAAAGCGGCTTAAATCAGGGAAATATGTTTAATTTTATAATTACCATTAATCGATTTTCTTGTACAGGTGTATATTTGCTTATTGACTTATATAGTACATGTACATTTTATTGTATAAAGTCCTTCCTAGGTTCTAATAGGCATTGGTTGTTGACTGGGAAATGGGGGGGGGAGAGAAACAGAATGAATGGAATGTAAAAAAAAATTATCTATTTAAATTGTTTCTTATCAAAACAAAATACTCGTTTTCTGCAAAATAGTTGTATATTTAGGTGTTTGCCAGTGCTTACTTACGCTTTTTTAGTGCAGAAAGGTCAAAATTAATGACAAAAGAGTACAAAAATAAAAGGAAACGTCATATTTCTCGTTTATTTTATCATAAAGGTATACTTTTTTCTTTGTTGAAATAAAGAGATGAATCATTTCTTTCAAAAAATATGAATTACAACATTTTCACACAAAGACTTTTTAAGATACATTTGTATTACCTGTTATGCATGTCGGAATTGTAAAAAATACGACAAGAAAAATGGGGTAATACTTACAATGTGCTCCATTATAATTTTTCATGCGAAATGGATTTCAATGAATTTGCCTCCATTTTAAAGATACAAGTCATATAAATTAAATAATTGTTGACTGAAAATATGATTTGACATTTTTGGTTCTTTTTAGCGCATATTTGGGGTAGAACAATAATGACTGAAAATAATCTATTTTTAGCATTTCACACTGTTTTTGCACGTGCTCCTGTGTAAAAATAAGCATATAAAGGTATTGTTTTTAATACCTAAAAATTAAGAGCAAGTGGTCAGGAAAGAAATGCCAAAGTTTTGAAAATTTCACACAAAGACTTTTCGGACATAGGTCCCCCCTTAAATAAACACGACTGATGAAGGCCAGTAACACGGTCGAAATTTTTCAAAAATTGTTGGAAAGTTTTTATTATATATATAAGTATATAAATCAAAATTAAATCCATGATAAACAAACAAGTTTACGTTTAATTTTTTACACTAAGCGCTTTCGCCGTTACTGCTCTTCAGAGTGTAACAATGATAATAAAAACAATACAACTTTGTTGTTATGACGTCGTTATTATGACGTCACAAAGGCAGCGTTATACATTGGCACAGGTAAATGTCAAAAAAGCGCCAAATGTATAGAGTTAAACACATGTACATTAATATAGGCTGAAACAATTTAACAAAATAATCTTCCTTGGCCCTCCGTAATTGTTCATTATCTTCTGTGTCTTTATAAAATGGAAATATCAAAAAGTTTCCATTCCCATATGAATCAAAATGTTCACTGCAAGGTGTATTCCCGACGGAGGGGTTTCGTATTTGTTGTTTATGGACTCTTACACGGTCAGCTAGTTTGTTACCGGTCTGTCCAATATAGTTTTCCTCATCTGGAAAAACGCACTGTAGCCAAAT